TCTAATGATCTGATGGTCATTTTGAAAAATCCTTTCTTAGCAAGCACCTAGAAGCCAAGAGGAACATAAGTGCCAAATTTCAAGTTTGTAGGCTTTACAGTTCTGGAGATTTCGTGATGAGTGAGTGGTATTTGGTTTTTATATATACAGTATACAGATATAATCACTAACAATTATTCACATGTCATTTGTTCAGATCTCTTCCTTTCTTCCAACCGAAAGAAACCATGGTTTCTTCCAATACACTTTAATACATCCATTTTCTTAAAAAATTCTCGATTGGGGCCCAAGGATATTATAATATTCTCCATGTATATATACACTGTAATGATGCTAAAAATAATTTAAGGCTTGTAGGCGTGAACCTTGTTACCGAGGTTGTGGCGTTTGAAATATACATGGACCATGCAGCAAGTGAACATTTTAAAATTAATTTCTAAACTGGGAAATCATTATCTTCAACTTTAGCTCTTGCAGGGTGCCGACACTTACTTAAAGTGGAACTAAACTGGTTACCTCTTCAAAAATAGATGCAATTACAGATCAATACTGCAGATCTCTTGTAATTGAGACCATTCACCATTATTATTTCCTCTTCATTAATAATTTTTAAACTTCGGTTATCAACGGAATATGTGGCACTCTAAGAAATTATTTCCTTGTCTCAAGCCAGAACAATATATTATGAAGGTTTTTCCTCTTCTCCTTTCTTCTTGATAGAACAAATATGGGGCTGTAACCTCTCTCCGTTTATCCTCTATTTATTAATTTATTCATGTTTATGCTGCTATATAAAGTCTCCGTGTGTGTATGTTTGTGTGTGTGTAAAAGATAAAGGAGTTCCTATGGATTTTACTCTTCTAGTTGTTGCTGATTGTAGGGGGAAGTGCACATTTCCGTTTCAAGGCCAAAGCCAGCGCTGTCTGAAGACATTTCTGTGGTTATGTGGCCAACCTATTCTCCAAAGTACCTGAGGGTAGGACAAGAAGCAAGAGATGGAAGCTAATCAAGGAGAGAAGCAACCTAGAACTAAGGAGAAATTTCATCATCAGTGGAACGAGTGGTCTCCAGAAGTTGTGAATGCTCCAACAGAGCAGAGGGTTGGACTAAGAAGACCTACAAGCAGTGGTGGGATTCAAATGATTTAACAACCGGTTCTCTGCCCTAATGATTTCTTCCAGCAACCAGTTCACCAAACTGCTCAGAAAGTTAACAACCGTTTCTCCCGAAGTGGTGTGAACTGGCGGAATCCCACCACTGCCTACAAGGTCCCTTCCAAATCTGTTATTCTGCAGTCCGACTTCCGAGGTCCCTTCCTCTATGATTCTGTGGTTCAATCTTGTGACCATGGGCTCCTAAATACCATGGACCAAAGGGAGGAGGGACAGGGGTTGGAATATTTAAGCTTGACTCAGCCTTCCATCCTTCCAAGGTTGGTAAAATGAGGACCCAGATTGTTGGGAGCAATATGCTGTTCCGTAAATGGCTTAGAGAGGACTATAAAGCACTGTGAAGCAGTATATTGTTATCTCTATGTCTATGTCTATGTCTATGTCTATGTCTATGTCTATTTCTATCTCTATCTCTATCTTAATTTTTAAAATTAAGAAATTAATTCTTAATTTTTAAGTGTTTTTATAGTTATTTTTTGAGTGTATTGTGAGCCGCCCTGGATCTTTGGAGAGGTGCGGCATATAAATTGAATAAATAAATAAATAAATAAATATCTCTATCCATCTATCTATCTATCTATCTGTCGAACTGCTACCCTGTTTCCCCCAAAATAAGACATCCCCTGATACTAAGCCCAAGTGCTTATTTCAGGGTTCAAAAAAATATAAGACAGGGTTTTATTTTCAGGGAAACACGGTATTGCTATTAATTTTATAATATAAAAATATTATTAAGCCACCAAGATCTACTATCTGATCATGTGTTTTTATTTCAAAATCATTTGTGCATCACAGATTCCTTGAACCAGTACCTTCTTTGTTGAATCAAAGCATCAGATATACCCAGGTTTTCAATATTTTGTTATAAGAGCCATGGTGGCGCAGTGGTTAGAATGCAGTACTGCAGGCTAATTCACTGCTGACTGCCAGCAGTTCGATTCTGACCAGTTCAAGGTTGACTCAGCCTTCCATCCTTCCGAGGTCGGTCAAATGAAGACCGAGATTATTGGGGGCAAGAGGCTGACTCGCTAAAGCCGCTTAGAGAGGGCTGTAAAGCACTGTGAAGCGGTATATAAGTCTAAGTGCTGTTGCTATTGCTATTGACTCAGCCTTCCATCCTTCCAAGGTTGGTAAAATGAGGACCCAGATTGTTGGGGGCAATTATGCTGACTCTGTAAAACCAGTTATAGAGGGCTGTAAAAGCACTGTGAAGTCGTATAGAAGTCTATTGCTATTGCTATTGGAATAGAAACTTGAGTCCAGAGGACGAATAAAGCAGGAAACAAGACAGATCTTGGTTTGCTGAGCTCCTCACTCATTGTCCAACCAATGTTTAGCAATTCTGATGGGCTACTGAACAGACAGCTCAAGCCTGAGATGAGTAATCTCCCCGAGTCCCTCTTCAGCAGGCAATGAAAGCGAGGCTCCACTTTGAAAATTCTTTTCCCCATCATGCAAACTGACAAAGGCATACTTTTCAAAAACCCACAGCCAATCTGTTGATCATTACTTATTTACAAAGGCCTTCAGGCAGAAAGTCCTGTAAAAACCATACTTGATACGATATACACTAGCTCTTTCGGCTTGTGGGAGGAGGGGGAGGAGGGGTGGGGAGGGCGGGAAGTTCCCCCTAAGGCTACCTCCAACCATCACTTTCCATTGCACATAAAATGTACCGTGTAACACTAAAGTATTTAATATATATGGTATAATATATCTACGGGAAAGGCATCTGTGTAGAACTGTGTTAGCCCGTATTTGGTAATTTGATGTTTTGCTGAAGGCAATGACTTGAAAAAGCCTCCACCTTGCATTGAGGACCTGTCATCTTAGTACCCATGAGCCAGTAGAATAAAGAAGTACCCTAAAGCAGCAAAACTTTGACACAGCTTTGAAGCATATGAAAACAGTAGAACTCCCCAGAATTATTATGACTCCAGATCAAAGAAATGAAGCATACTTTACATAGCAAACAGGGACACAGCACATCACTCCAAACGGTACTGGGTTCTCTGCCCTCTCGCTCTTTTTTCCCCCCTTTCTTTTTCTTTTATTTCACGTTTATATCCCTAAATTTAAGAGATAACAGAAGGACTGGGGGTGGGGTGGGATTTCTCTCTCTCTTTCTCACTTCTCTGTCAAATTTCACACAAACAGAAATTATTAGAGATGAGATAGAGACAAGATAAGGGATGCAAGGATGTACCCAGTGGTGGGATTCAGCCGGTTATGTCCGGTTCGAGCAAATCGGTTTGCTGGTGACTGCGGGAGGCTCCGCCCACCCGCCTGGACATAATGCGCGAGCACTGCGCATGCATGCACGTTCACATTTGTGAGCCAGTAGGGAAGGTAAGAGAATCCCACTTCTGGATGTACCCCAGCAATGGATGAAATAAGTGCATTCTGGACTCATCTTATTCCCTCTCTAGCATAAACCTAGAGGTAAATTAGTCCTGCATCCGCAAGGATTAGCAACACTGGGATAATGTTTTGAGTAACTACACAAAGCAGCAATCGCCATTCAACAGAAAAAGAACAGAAAGATGCAAACCCCTCTTACCAAGCTCTCTTTCCCTGCCCTTACATTCTAACTTCTAAATGAAAACAGGTGTATTTTGAGGAAATACACTGTAGATTTCGGGAGCAACCAATTCCCTGAGCAAAGCAGGAAATGGCATGTGTCTGAATTGCCATGTATCACCTGGTTTTAATCTCCCTTTTTCTTGGCTTGCCTCTTTTTGAAACCCCCAAAATTGTAAGGCACGGGACACTGAGAAACCTGGATCCGGCCTATTCCATCTTCCAAGCCCTGATTGTTTTATGCTTCCTACTTTGTAAAAGTGCCACCATTGGGAAAGGTCCCTCATCCACGAGGAAGTCAGACTTTAAAACCCCAAGCATAAGGAAATTCAGAAGATTTCAGAAGTCACCCCTGTTTTATAATCAGACATTTTTGCCTCCAAGAAAATTCAGGAATAATACTGAATAAAAGAGAAGCAAAAGAGCACTCTCCAAATTCTGTATAATAAGTTTACAAACGAATCTTAGTTGTTTGTTTCTGCTCTTTAAGACTTTCAATCCTAGCAGAAACCCTTGTAAGAACAAAGTGTTCGGAACACTTTAACAACACCTTAACCACCACCACAACAACACCTCTCATAATTAATGCAATTTTTAGTCCCAGGACGAGGACGTTCGTTTTGAACTTTGCTTGGGAAAGCGCCCAAGATTCATTATCCTGTCTTCCCTCCCCATCCCGTCCTCTCTCCCCCTCCTCTTTTTAAAGAATCATTCCAAATCAATTAGAGGAAATTTGATTTCAATCGACAGGATAAAAAGGAAGGTAATATTCAGGTTCATTTCTGATTGCGGTGATACATCTCGCGTACGGTTTTAAGTACAGAAAACAGCACTCGGAGGGATTTCGACAAGAAGAGAATTGCCCGAGGCAAACTCACCCCACGGATTTCTCGGATTGGTTAGCGCTATCATTAGTGCCACTGCTGTTTAAGAACTACATACAGACAGGCTGGGTGACAGCTAAGACTTTAAAGCCTGTGTATTTTTCAAACAGTTTTTCAAACTGTTTTCTGTGACAGATTTTTTTTTCTTCCCGAGCTCTATCATTAACTGCTGACAAGCTGACAGAATAAATACTCCAGCGTTTCAGAAACCGTCTAACAATCTTTTACTTTTTTGAACACCCTGCCATGAATCTTTTTTGCCCCCCCCCCTCCTTAGGTTTTTTTTTTGGGGGGGGTGGGGTTGTCGGTGAGATTGTTGTCTTGAGGGGGAAGAGATAAAGATATGAGCGACTTAGGACCTCACCTTATCAGTTTGGGCGAAGAGTTGGGCGAATTCCTCATGCCTCCGTTCCGTTGCTTCCTTTTGGGTGACAACGTCGTCAGCTGTTCGTCTTCAACTAGAAACACAAGCAGCTTGTGAGGTTATGACCAGCTCAGCCTTGGAAATACAGGCGAAATAGCCAACAACAACCCTCCCACTTCCATTCACACCATCTTAAGTAATTGTTATTATTACCATGTTTCCCCGAAATAAGACCCTGTCTTATATTTTTTTGAACCCCGAAATAAACACATGGCCTTATTTTTGGGGAGGTCTTATTATTTTGGGGCGCATGGAGCAAGATGGGATTCCTCTTGCCGTCTTACCTGATTTCCAGCTATGCGTTTAAATATTTTCGGGGAGGGCTGATTTTCAGGGGGGAGGCTTATTTAAGAGCATGCACTCAAAAGCCCAATTGGGCTTATTATCAGGGGATGTCTTATTTTTGGGGAAACAGATTATGATTATTATGATTATTATGATTATTATGATTATTATGATTATTATGATTATTATGATTATTATGATTATTATTATTTTGAATAAAGCCCATCCTGAAGTTGGTGAAAAGAGATTGGGTTGAAAACTCAAGGAAAAAGAAAAGAAACAAGATTACTTGAAGTTATTCTTGATAGGCTTCATTTTTTAAAAAAATCCTTTAAAAAAAACAAACCTCAAGATACATTTTCAAAAATACAAAAAAAAAAAAAAAAAACAGAAATCAGGACTGTGCTGCAAAGTTTAGGTATGTAATTCAGAAATGAAACATCAAAACTGCCAGAAGGAACTTGGTTAAAGTAACTGGATTTCCATTTTTTTTAAATACCCAATCAGAGCATTCCAGGAAAATTTTAAATCCTTCAAGCCTTGATTTTAAATGCTGCAATAAATTAAAGTATTTTGTCCTTGATTTCAAAATGAGATGTCATCATAGGATGAAATCCATGTAGCCAATGGACAAAAGGAATGGATTTATAAAAATGGGCACGAAGTTTGAAGAATTAGCAAAAAAAAAGCTACAGATGCTTTAAGAGTTGTTTATTATTATTGCATCCTTTGGCAAAATTGTACAGCATAGCACCTTTGACACGACACCAACCTTCCTAAGGAGCTATAACTCAGTATGGTTATTACAGTAGGAGTTATTATTAATGGATCAGTATTTTCGTTTATTAGAAGCTTCTAGTTTAGCAAAAATGCTTCTGCGTTCAAAGAAAACAAACAAATTACTATCCCAAAGTGAACAGGAAATGAGACCAATACAAAACAGTACGTTAAGAACAGTAACAACAAAACAGTGCAATAAATCATTTCACTGGAAGAAAGAAGAATAAAATGTAAAAGAAAGGAGTAGGACAGTGAGGAGGGAAGAGACGAGGGAACTGTTTTCACTGAAAATGAATATCAGACTATAGAGAATCGAGAGAAATTTAAGGCTAACATCTAAATTGCATTTTTAATAGGTTTACAATATGGTTGTGGGCAGTTGGAAACTCATATATTAAACCCCTCTCTGGATATTTTTTCTGTAGTTTACATCTTTCCATCCGTCAGCGGGGCCTTCCCTCTGTCTAACTTTATAAAGTCATCCATGTCCCAATCTAGAGCAGAAGCTTAAATATCCTGCAATGATTATAGGAAAACAAGAAGTGAAAACCTCCTAAGCAAAACATTAGAATGATTGGCTTTGAACAGTAGATCCAATTTTCTCAATTTTATAAAAGCAAATTTGTGTGTGTGTGTGTGTGTGTGTGTGTGTGTATGCACACACACACACACACACATGTATGTATGTATGCATGCATGCATGCATGCATGCATGTAAAAAAGAAACAGACATTCTGCAAACTCCGGAACTAAAATAATTAAAATTTTATTCTACTAAGCTTTCATCAGCCATCTGCTGACATTGTCAGAGTATTAAACTACCATTACAGAGATCTCTGCCTTTATATGTCGTTAGTTAATTTGGCCATTGCGCACGTAATAGGCCCTTCCAACTGTCTCCCACTTATACTTCCTTGTATACCTGGAACTCGTATACCTGGAACTCGTATTTTTAGAATAGTTTGATCTATCTATCTATCTATCTATCTATCTATCTATCTATCTATCTATCTATCTATCTATCTATCTATATACGGTGGCAAAGACGCTGAGCTTGTCGATCGAAAGGTTGGCAGTTCGGCGGTTCGAATCCCTAGTGCCGCGTAACGGGGTGAGCTCCCATTACTTGTCCCAGCTTCTGCCAACCTAGAAGTTCGAAAGCACATAAAAAATGCAAGTAGAAAAATAGGCACCACCTTCAGTGGGAAGGTAACAGTATTCCTTGGGCCTTTGGCATTTAGTCATGCTGGCCACATGACCACAGAGATATATATACACCTCGATTTACAACAGTTCATTTAGTGACCGTTCAAATTTACAACAGCACTGGAAAAAAGTGACTTATGACCATTTTTTTTTCTCAGTTACGACCTTTGTAGCATCCCCGTGTTCATGGGATCAAAATTCAGATGCTTGGCAACTGGTTCATATGTACGACGGTCGCAGTGTCCCCGGGGGTCACGTGATCCCCTTTTCACGACCTTCTGATTAGCAAAATCAATGGGGAAGCGAGAGTCACTGAACAACCGTGTTACTCACTTAACACCTACAGTGATTCACTTAACAACAGTGGCAAAAAAGGTTGCAAAATGGGGCAAAACTCACTTAACAAATCTCTCACTCAGCAACAGAAATTTTGGGCTCAATTGTGGTCATAATTCGAGGACTACCTATGTATACACACGCGCACCCACACAGACACAGACACACACACACAGTGTATATGTGTCAGTGTGTGTGTATAAATTATACAGAGTATATGTATATATACATATATCCATATATACACTGCTCAAAAAAATAAAGGGAACACAAGCAGAAGACATCCGAGATCTGAATGAATGAAATAACTTTATTAAATACTTTGTTCATTACATACAGTAGTTTTGTGTTCCCTTTAGTTGTTTGAGCAATGTATAAACTACTGTATGTAAAGAACAAAGTATTTAATAAGGCTATTTCATTCATTCAGATCTTGGATGTCTTCTGCTTGTGTTCCCTTTATTTTTTTTGAGCAGTATACATATACATATATACATATATATTCATATTCCATTCTTTGCACAACACAGAAAAGTTCAAGCTGTTTTGTTAGTTTCTTTGTTTTTAAGGCAAGGCACAGCCAGATGAGATGCTGATAGATATGACTGGTTCTAGAACAGATTGAAATATATCACTGGGCTTCCAAGTTCATTTAAATCAGAGCTCTTCAAACTTGGCAGCTTTAAGACTTGGGGACTTCAACTGCCAGAATTCTCCAGCCAGCTGGCTGGACAATTCTGGGAGTTGAAGTCCGCAAGTCTTAAAGCTACCAAGTTTGAAGATCTCTGATTTAAACAAACAAACAAGCAAACACTTATCAATGAGCCCCAAAAGTTCTTTTATCCAGTGGAATTGTGCATGCTCTCTATTATTTATGAATGGGCAAAAAAACCCCACATTTTTTTCCTAATCCTTGTTGTCATAAGACAGCATTACCGGAATCCCGAACACCTCCTTTAATTTTACGCATTTATTCCATTGCACATAAAGTAACCCTCGGCATTTCTTCAGCTGCAAACTGCCTCTTAAAACCCACTCTTGTGTTACATAGCACTAATGGAGGCCCCCCTTTTTAATAACATCTATTTATGACACTATAAGACAAAGCTTTGTTGGTAATCCATGCACAAATGCCTTTAGGGCATCATCCCAACCCAATACAGCTCCCGTGGTTTTTAGCAGGCAAAAAAAAAATAAACAAACATCCAAGCTGTTGCTCAAATTTCTCCCTTGAAGTTCCAAGAGATTGTTAATTGTTTAACGGTGATTGGAGGATGACGTCAACTGGGATTGGATGAATTGCAATTGAATTCAAGTCAGTAAAATGAATGGGAACTCAGTAATGCTAGTGGGTCCAAATGGGATGAGGTCCCATTCAATGATTCTCAGGTAGGGCTCAAATAGCAATAGCAATAGCACTTAGACTTGTATACCGCTTCATGGTGCTTTGCCAGACATTGTATTTGCTGGTTTTCCGAACTACTCAAAATTTCCTCTACAGGTTCTCCAGAACGTGTCAGAACCTGCTGAATAGCACCCCTGCTCTTGCCCCCAACAATCTGGGTCCTCATTTTATTTATTTATTTATTTATTTATATAAATATAATATATAATAATTAAATTTGGCCCATAGTTTAAAATTTATCAATTTAAAATCCATATCAAAATTTAAAATCAACCATAAAATCATAAAATCAAGAGAGACCAGCTAACTGAAAGAGATGAGTTTTTAGGGCCCGACGAAAAGTCCGGAGGTCGGAGATCACTCGTATCTCTGGGGGTAGATTGTTCCAAAGGGTAGGTGCCACCACAGAGAAGGCTCTCCTCCTGGAGGTCGCCAGCTGGCATTGTCTAGCCGACGGCACCCTGAGGAGGCCCTCTCTGTGGGAGCAAACTGGCCGGTGGGAGGCTATTGGTGGCAGAAGGCGGTCCCATAAGTACCCTGGCCCTAAGCCATGGAGCACTTTAAAGGTGATCACCAACACCTTGAAGCGCACCCGGAAGTCCACCGGAAGTCAATGCAGCTCGTGCAGGAGAGGAGTCACATGGGAGCGCCCCTTCGCTCCCGTAATCCCCCGCACAGCCACATTCTGCACCAGTTGGAGCCTCCGGGTGTACCCCAAGGGGAGCCCCATGTAGAGAGCGTTACAATAGTCCAGACAAGAGGTGACGAGTGCTTGAGTGACTGTGCGTAGGAAGGATGGAAGGATGGAAGGATGGAAGGCTGACTCAATAGCAATAGCACTTATATACCGCTTCACAGTGTTTTAAAGCCCTCTCTAAGCATTTTACAGAGTCAGCCTATTGCCCCCAACAATCTGGGTTTTCATTTGACCAACCTTGGAAGGATGGAAGGTTGAATCAATAGCAATAGCAATGACCAAGATTGACTTCATTGCCTTATTCATCTGACATTGTGTCCAGCTT